CCGCTGACTGGTCCACTTCCAGTCTCCAGCAGTATTTCAATCCGGTAACATCGTTCCCCTTACCTCTCCCTATGCTCCATTGAGGGCAATGTCGTGCTTAAGTGTGGGGGGGTGCTTTGTATCAGTTGGAATCTATATATGTGTGCTTGGAGCCTAGTCCGTTGTCCAAATCTCGAGATTTGAGGGCTCCAAGTACGGCTGTTTGATCATATTGGCACTGTGTTTTGATTGGTGAATTGAATGGTTTTCAGATTAATGCATGACAACTGGATGGTGACTAGGACGACCTATAATGATGACTGAGACGTGCAGTAGAATTGTGTAGGAGTTCAGTTTTTCAACTTTTTGCTTACCAACTGTGACTTGGATGGATTACTTTTTCTTGACAGTCGTTTATGCATCTAGTTCAGGGAATCAGAATGAGAGATAGAGCATATAGGTAGCCATGTGAGATTTGAGCCTGCTTGTTTCTTTCTTGTGCGATAGTTCCCTCTTCCATGATGTGTAGCATTCACGTTGTCATTAGCTAGGATGATGGAGGCATGGGATTAGCCCGACCAAAATTGACTGTCCTGGTGTGTCATACCCCCTAGTTAGCCCCTTTGAGCCGTGTGTTATCCTTTCTTTCAGTCTGTAATGAAAAATCACCCTTTTGCATCTCTTAGAAGGTTCCACAGAGGGGTTTTTACATGTTCTCTGCTGTTTTTGCTAAATATAATGTGAGGGCTGGAGGTAGTTCTTAGAAAGTTGGGCAGGTGTTTGAAAAATGTGCAGAGGTGGTGGTTCTCTTAAGAAAAAAAATGAAAGAAAAACAAAGAAAAAATGAAAGCAAAAGAGAGCCACCACGAAAAATCTAAATAGTGCCCATTAAGTAGTGTTTCTTAGTAGTCTGGCTTGGAAATACTAGCATTTATGTGACCTTCTTCGCTCTTGTGCTCTACAGAATGTGAGTAATGCAGAATGGTGGAAAGAAAGTATTGGTTTGATTGACTGTGAGTTTGTTGGGTTGGAAATGTGGAACCTTGTGCTATGAATACTTCCACCACCTAAAAGGCCTTTTCCCCATGTCCAAGACCATAGCCAATCACTTGAACCTGCGTCTAAGACCTCCGGATTAGTTAGTGATGACACCCATTTTGGTGAGCTCTAACACTTAGAGGCTGCCGTTATGGTGAAGAGATGTTAGGGATTGAGAGAATAAGTATGCGCATTTTTCGCATCAAATTTTCCTGACCCCACTGGTCGAGAGTGAGCGATTCATTTCCTTGTTCTTTACACTCTTTACCCAGTGAGGACCTAGATGGCTCGGTCTTAATTCTGATCTCTTGAGTTTTATGCATGAGGTGACTGTCTTGAGTAAGTGATTGAGTCAAGTCTATGTTGGTTGATGAACAGAAGGGAGACTCCTCCTTTACTCGATTTTGTTGCACTCAAATGTTTTCTGTGGTGGTTGTCCAGGTTGCTATTGAAGTTGTTCATGTGTTGATGTTTGAAACCAGTATGATTCACATGTTTCTGTGCCTATATGATTTGTCCCCAGTGTTGGTATGATTGAAAAAGGCGAGCTTACCTTGTGTCTGACTTGGTTTGCTTGGGGACAAGCAAACGGTTAAGTGTGGGGGAGTTTGATATACCGTTAATTGCACATGTTTTTACGCCTATTCTTGAGCCGTTTGAGATGTTGATTCTCGTGTTTTGGACCGATTTCACGCTAGGTTGTGCTTGTTTGTGATATTTCAGGTCCTAGTACGTGAATGAAGGTTTGGGAGCGAGTTTGGGGTCGATCGGACGAAGATCGGACGTGCGGCGAGTCGTTGAGGAAGCCACACGGGCACTCATAAAACCCACACGGCCGTGTAAGGAACCAATGTGGTTATGTGGGATTGTGCGAGGCTTCACATGGGCAGACTGGAGATCCTACACGGCCGTGTGTCCCTAGCCATGTAGGAAGCCTGAAATCAACTTAATCGGAACGCCGCGTTTTGGACCTCACACGGGCATCTAGGTAAGCCACACGGCCGTGTGGCCTGCCCGTGGGATCGGGATTTTCTGGGTTTTAACCCAAAATTGAGCCACAAGTGAGAAAATCGACTTTTGAGAGCAAAAACAGAGCCCTAGAGAGAGAATGTGTGAAGAACACATCCTAGAAGTGATCTTGGAGCTGGGTTTCATCAAATCGAGCTTGGAGATCATCATAGGAGTGAAAATCATCATCCCAGAGCAGATTCTTCCCATTGTTATGAGTATGACTGCTTTGTATCCTGTTTTTCTCTCTCTCTCTCTTTGGAGTAGAACCCTTCTCTCACTTGGGTATGAAGAACCCTAGTTCCATGTGTTAGGGATTTGATTGTAATGACTTGGGATGATTATACTGTTTGGTTTTAATCGAATGATGCATGTTTCATTGAATTAATTGAAGTCTGATCGGCTTTTCTTGATTTCTGCTGCAACCTGAGATAGATAGAATCTGATTAGGTTGTTAGAGCCTCTTCATTCGGTAGTAGTAGATTGGCTATACGAGAGTTAGTCAGTCTACTGCTTTGTACTGGAATCCAATTCTAGTAGTGGAGTTCTGTGGTTATTGCTTCAGCTTTCTATCCCGGTGAAGACTAGTCGTCTGCCGGGTAGTTAGACTGAGAGGGCTTGGTCAGCTTAAGAGATTCCTAGCTACTGTCGGATCTTCCGCAGTCTAATCAACAGTAAATCAACCCAGGGTAATTACAACCGAGACCTAATAAGGAGCTAGGGGGACTCATTCCCGAGTGACTCATCTTTTGCTTGAGATAACCGAATCAATTCTTGCTTTCTTTTTGCTTTCAGTTAAGACAAAAACCAATCGACTTTGTTTGCTAGATAATAGATAATCACGGAGTAGGCGTTAGATCTAGACCCCGGGTTGATATTTAGAACTTGCCACTTTACTGCATTCCCGGACTGCGATTACACTTGGTCGAAGTTCGATGTTGTGTTTTGGCGTGTCAATTTCACTGACGCGTGCACAACAACATTCACGACCTTGAAGGAGAATCTCACCATGCTCCTATCATCGTCACTCCCGATTGGACTTACCATTTGAGTTGTGTATGACGCGAGAGACTTCATAGTTGGAGTGTGCTGGGGCAGAGGTGAGATCAACATTTCTGGCCAATCTATTATGCATCAAAGATCCTCAATGATGCTAAGGAGAGTTATACCACCATAGAGAAGGAGCAGCTAGTTGTGGTGTTCGTCTGCGACAAATTTTGTCCTTATCTGGTGGAGAGTGTCACCCTTTGGTTCTTCGACTTGGCGAACTATCTTGTTGGCCAGCAGCTTCCCAAGGGGATGATGACTCATGCAAAGAGGAAGTTTTCTTCGACTTGAAGCAGTACTTTTGGGATGATCCACATCTCTTCAGGATTGGAGCCGACGGGGTCATCTGTCACTGTGTCATGGACAATGAGACGGAGGGAATTATCTCTCATTGCCATGAAGACCCTAGTAGCGGACACCATAGCGGTAACCACACAAGGAGGAAGGTGGTAAAGTCGGGCTTCTACTGGCCATCACTCTTGTTCGCCCGAGGTGAGACCGATGCCAAAGGTCAGGTAACATTTCTGCCCGGAATGAGATGCCCCAAAATGTGTTTGTTATTTTTGAAATCTTTGATGTCTGGGTTATCAATTTCATGGGCCCATTTCATCCATCTTTTGGCAATCTGTAGATCCTAGTTGCTGTTGATTATGTCTCTATGTGAGCTGAAGCACAGACTTTGCCCACCAATGATACTAGGCATATTTGTCAGTTTCTTAAGCAGCTATTCTCCCGGTTAGGGACACCTCGAGCCATCATTAACTATAGAGGCACCCATTTTCAGGGTCAATTTGATAAGCTCCTCTCTTGCTATGGTGTTACTCACAAGGTGTCTATAGCCTACTACCCCCAAATGAGTGGTCAACCCGAGCTGACGAATCGGGAACTCAACTGCATAATTGAGAAAACCGTGGTTCAATCCCGCAAGGGCTGGTCCACCAAGCTCGATGATGCTCTGTGGTCATATCCGACTGGCTACAAGACGCCGATGGGTACTTCTCCATATAGGCTCCTCTATGGAAAGGCATGTCATTTACCCGTCGAGCTAGAGCATAAGGCCTTCTGGGCCCTTAACCTGTTAAACTTGGATGTGAGCCTTGCAGGTGCTCAATGCAAGATGCAGATGCTGGAACTGGATGAATGGTGTTACCACGCTTACAAGAACATCAAGATGTACAAGGAGATGACGAAGTGTATCCACAACGCTCAATTGAGGAGCCCGAAGGATTTTTAGGTTGGCGATCGAGTTCTTCTTTATAACTCTAGCCTGAAATTCTTTGTTAGAAAGCTCCGCTCTAGATGGTCAGGGCCGTTCACGATCCTGCATGTGTTCCCGTGTGGCAGTATGTGATTGCCACTCCACAAACTAAACCATTTAAAGTGAATGGACACTGCCTCAAGCTGTACCTGTGATGCGAGGTCGAACGGTGGGAGTTGGTAGTTGAACTCGAGGATCCTTAGTTTCGCTGGTTGCGTCTAGCTAAAGACGTAAAACAAAGCGCTTGTGGGGAGGCAACCCCACCACAATTTGTATTTCTGTCCCTTTTCCTTTTTTTTTTTGCATTTTAGCATCGTCTATTTCCATTTTGTGTCTTTCGTGTCGTATCCAGAGCCCGTCAATTGTCCATGTTGTCACCATTTTCGTTCGTAGTTGGCTCGGGGTGATTTCGATCGTTTTTTGGCTAAGGCTAGCAAAATCCACGATTGGGGCCACTTTTTCCACAGTCGTGGATTTAACCTCCCTAACCGTGGTTTTTCCCTGATCAAAATCCACGGTCCAAACTTTGATTCCCTGACCGTGGATTTTGGTTTCTAGGAGACCGGGGAAAAAGTACAAAATCAATAGTCCAAATGCCAATACCACGACCGTGGATTTTAGCACTGGACCGTGGATTTCGCCATATATATGAAAAATCTAGGCACCAGCCCTCATTTTTCCACGGTTCAGCCACCAAATACTCTCCCCTCTCTTCTGCCTTTTGCGCCAAACACCTACCTCCTGTTAAGATTTGTAGATCCCATCACCGTCCGACCTCATATTCAAAATCCAACTTCAGGGCCATTCTTCCCGCGTCTGGGCTCCCTTGCCTTGCATTTTTTGGGCCGATCGGCAACAAAAAATGTTCCGGTAACGTTTCCGGTGACTTTTTACCGATCTTTCGATGAAGCCCCAACCTGGTTTTTGCTCTGTGTTGCGTGTCATGTCCCTATTCTAGCCGTCTAATTGAGTCTCCTGGTTGGTTTTCTCCTCCTTGCTTCTGACTTAGTGGAGAATTGACATTTAGGTTGTGATTGGGGTTTTAAAGATGATTGTTGCTTTATTGAGAACATAATGCCACTATTAGGTTGTTAGACATGCTTTGAACTATCATCTCTATCGAATGTGTTGGCTTGGTGCCCTGTGTTGGGTTTGTAGTATAGGTTCTCTTTACAAACTTTATCTAGCTAGTCTGAAACCAGCCCTGTTGCCATGCTTTTGGACTCTTAGCTACCATGTTTTTTAGAGGCCGAATCCTCTAGGCGTGGACCTCTCCGCCTTCTACTCCACCATCTCAAAGTTTCAAGATATTTTGGAGCAAGTGGACAATTCGATCTTTGGAGTTACGGCCAGACCTTGCAAGTTACGGTCTGGCCCGTAAATCACCTAGAGGATCCATAAGTTGCAAGTGGAAGAATGAAGAAGTTCCAGGAGGCTTCTTGGAGTTACGGGTTGACCTTCCAAGTTACGATCAAGGCCGTAACTCAGCCTGGGAACTCGTACTCTTGGGAAGCATCGACATCAGTTCCAGAAGCACTTTCGGAGTTACGGTCTCCCTCTCCAAGTTATGGTCGAGACCGTAACTCTCCAAAGGAAGCTGTAACTCTTGGACAAGGAAGTGAAACAACGGCGCCGTTTCTCAACAAGTTACGGGCTGTCAAGCCGAGTTACGGCCGTAACTTAGGGATTGGATTCTTCTGAGTTCCTAAGGCAGAAAACAAACCCTAGAGAGAGATAGTGACGAAAAGAAACCCTTGGGCAAGGATTGGAGCGATCTAAAGACCTCGGAGCTCGATTCCCAAACTTCGGAGTACCAATTATTCGCTAGTACCAGTTGTCCATTATCGTCTTGATGATGTCTACTCCGAGAATGACGTTCTCACATCTCTTCATGGAGTAATTTTCCATTCCATCTAGGTATGAAGAACCCTAGCTGTGTATGTTAGGAATGATTGTATGAACCCCATGGTATGAATGATTGATTGGATAAATTCATTTGAGGAATTATTCAGAATTGCATGAGTCCTGATCAAACCTGCGTAATTCCGGCTTTAACCTAGAATGATAGTCTCTGCATAGGTTAAAAGAGCAACCTTGAATTGAAAGTGGCGAATCGATTGCTTTAGTCGAGAAGTCAATTCACTGCTCCGTACTGGAACATAAGGCCAGTAGTGGAAGTTTCGCGTGATTTTCCTTGGTTAGTGTATGCCAGTGTAGGTTAGTCCCTATCGGGTTTTCGAATCAAGAGGGTCTGGAACAATTTAGTCAAGAGTCCAGACCAGTTAAGAACTTTCCGCGGTTTATCAATCAATCTGAGTAATTTGGGGCCGTATACTTGAACTAGCTGCACACTAGGGGGAACCATACCCAGATGACCATTTGAACTTGAAAGAAGAAGACCATTACTTGTTTTCTTGTTTCTTTTGCACCAAAAACACTACATTCTCATATTCCTGCTAGATAATAGGAGTTCACTGAGTAGGAAGTAGATCTAGAGCCCGGGTCGATATTTAGACTTAACCAGTATTCTGCATTTCAATTTTGCGATTATACTTAGTCGTACTGTGGTGTTGTGTCGTAGAGTGTCAGGTTTTTGGCACCGTTGCTGGGGAACCCTCTAGGTTATTGGAGAAACGTGAACATCTATTATTTTAGCATCTACTTTTTTGCATTTTTCTTCTTTCCCCTGTGCGGCTTCACGGGTAGTGCTTGCAGTCTGTGTGCAGGTAGTGCATGACCCGTAGCTAGTCGAGAGCATTACTACCGTTAGATCCGGAGCTAGAACGTACTTGTCACCGGCTTAGGAGAGTGCAGCCAGCAAGACTGGCTACGGGAGAAGACCAGGTTGACAGATGGATTAGCAGCGACTCCGAGCAGGAGGACGACATGCGCGACGCAAACAACCATCAACTACATCCCAGGGGCTCATTATGGAGTACTTATACACCCCAGAGATCGCTGACATCCGCCCAGTCATCTAGTACCCGCCCATCCCCGCCAACAACTTCGAGATCAAGCCATGTTGGATCTAGTTGATTAGATCTTCCATCCAGTTCCATGGGCTCAAGGATGAAGAGTCGAGGGTACATCTTTCTTGATTCTTGCAGGTGACCAATGGGTTCAAGCTGAACGGCGTCCCAGATGACGCGATCCGTCTACATCTCTTCCCCCACTCTTTGGAGGGGCATGCAAAGAGGTGGCTAGAGAGACTGAAACGCCATAGTCTATCACTTCTAGGGACGATCTGGCCAACAAGTTCGTGCCTAGGTACTATCCGGCCTCAAAGACCTCGGAGATTCAGCGGGAGATCACTCATTTCCACCAAGAAGAGATGATGAGTCGTTGCAGGATGCTTAGGAGTGGTACTCGGGACTGTTTTGGAAGTGTCCCCATCACGGTTTTAGTGATGCATTCACTGTGGGGAACTTCTATAGTGATGTGTCTCCGGAGAATCAGAGATTGATTTGATTCTTTATGTCCGGGTGTGGACATTCTCACTAAGACTCCACCCGAGCTAAATCAGATGATCAGTACTTTGGCCGCCAAAAGATCATTCTTGGGGGCAGATAACAAGAGGTAGGAACTCCCGAGACAGAGGTGTGCATGCCATGGAGGCCAGATCAGGGCTTGAGCGAGAGGTGGCAGTGCTGGTTCAAACATTGAACGTAACACCCCGATGATTTTAGATTTAGATTCGACCTTATTACGTGATCGGTTGGACTGACGGTTACGTACTAAGTGTTGCAATCGCAGATTTGTAATAATAGTAATAATAATAATAATAATAATAACTATTATTATTATTATAATAAAAAAATACATAAGAGACCTGGGGGCCGAGCGGCACAAAAAACCCTTCCCCATTAAACCCACGCCTCCCCCCACCTATTTCCCAAAATTTTACCCCCAGCCGCCTAAGTAAAATCGGCAGCAGCAGTGCAAGTATCGGGCGGAGGAAGAAGAAAAAAAGAAGAAGAAGGAGGCCGTCGCCTCCCTGTTCCCGACCCCGACCCCATCTCTTTTGTTCTAGGTAAGGATAACGAACCCCTTCGCGATTTCTAAACTCGATTAATCGGTATATTAATCCAAAGCTCGTATTTTTATTAGCGGTGACATTGAGGGTTCGATCAGCAAGGAGATCAACGTCCCGGGTCATCCAACCTAGGCCTAGGCACGTTCTAGAGGTAAGGGAACTTGATCCCTTTGAGTTAGATCGATCGTTTTGGTGATTTTTCAGGAGGATGCAATTCTGGATTTTAGCAACAGACGTTTTGGCTTTTAGTGACAAATTTTGATTGGTCACTAAAGCTGCTGGGAATTTCCAGAAACGTATTGTTAGATATTTTAATTTGTTTCAAGCCTCTCTGTATGTTTTTTCTGGATCTAACAATTTTATAAATTGAGGGACAGCTAGGAGATGGCTGTAATTTAATTTGAGAATTTTTGAAGATGTATTTATATTTTTAGAAATTGTTCGAATATTTGTTTTAATTAAATAAAAATCTTTCCGAGGGGTATTTAAGGGTTTGATAATTTAACAAGGTATAGGGGCTCATTATTGACTTGGGAAAATTATTATCCGGATTTTTAAGAAGGTTCTAGTTAGGTGGAAAATTCGTCCAAGACTAAAATAATTAAAAAAGCTCGTTTTTGAATGGATTAATTCTAGAAAATTTTAGTGGGGGTTAAAGGACCGTTGGAATGAGGTTCAAGGACTGGAGTTTGAGGAGAGGATGTTCTAGTGATTCAAAAGAGGTTTTAAATCAAGAAAGGTCGTCTAAGAAAATGGATTCTTATTAATAGGTTTCCCCAAGATAGTCCGGTTAAGGAGGGGTTTCTTCGAGGAAGGAATTGAGGAGTCATCTTTTCGAGGTTAGTGTAAAGGGGGAAAAATCTCTGTCTTAGGTCTTTTAGTTTCTACTTTCGTTTAAGTTATTATTTAGTTAATTTTTCTAGTATGCGCGATATGTGTGTGAGGCATCCCACTGCCTGTAAGGGTGGAGGCACGCGTTGTGCTATGTATGAATGTATGTGATGATGTATGGATTGATGGTATGAGGAACCCCCGGGCGGTTGGGTCACTACTGGACGGCAAGACGTAACGCAGTAGTTGATGGGCATGGACTGGACGGCGAGACGTAACGCAGTGCCATTGCCGAGTTGGGGTATGCAACCGGACTGCGAGACGTAACGCGGTTGGCATACTAGGGTAGGACACCGGACGGCGAGACGTAATGCGGTGGTCCTTGTGTTTTGTGTTTGAGATAAGGATAGAAGTCGAGAACATTTATGAGTTAATGTTGAAATGAGTTGATAAGAATGGTTATTTAAGAGCAGAAAGTGAGAACGACTTTCATGCTATGAAGGCATTCCCCTAATAATGTGTTAAGTAGGAAGATTTGCCTAGGGAAAAGACCTTAGGAAGTACGACGGGACTGACCCCTTCTCACTCACCAGGTGCAGAGAGGGGAAGAGGACGCATCCATCAAGAGGAGGTTACCCGAGGAGAGAAGCCATGGCAAACCAGAAGATGTCAACTAGATCTGGGTAACGAGATGGGACCTCCAAACTGGGAATGACACGCCAATACACAACACCAAACTGCGACCAAGTGTAATCGCAGTCCGGGAATGCAGTAAAATGGCAAGTTCTATTATCAACCCGGGTCTAGATCTACTGCTTACTCCGTGATTATCTATTATCTAGCCAACTAAGTTAAGTGTTTGTTGTTTAAAGCAAAAGCAGAAAGAAAGCAGGAATTGGTACGGTTTTCTCAAGCAAAGAAGAGTCACACGGGAATGAGTCCCCCTAGCTCCTTAGTGAGGTCTCAATTGTAATTTCCCTGGGTTGATTTACTGTGGATTAGACTGCGGAAGATCCGACAGTAGCTTGGAATCTCTTAAGCTGACCAAGCCCTCTTAGTCTAACTACCCAGGAGACGACTAGTCTTCACCGGGATAGAAAGCTGAAGCAATAAGCACAGAACTCCACTACTGGAATTGGATTCCAGTACAAAGCAGTAAACTGGCTAACTCTCGTATAGCCAATCTCCTACTACCGAATGGTGAGGCTCTAACAACCTAATTAGATTCTATCTATCTCAGGTTGCAGCAGAAATCAGGAAAAGCTGATCAGACTTCAATTGACTCAATAAACATGCATCATTTGATTAAAACCAAACAGTATAATCATCCCAAGTCATTACAATCAAATCCCTAACACATGGAACTAGGGTTCTTCATACCCAAGTGAGAGAAGGTTTCTACTCCATAGAGATAGAGGGGAAAACAAAATACAAAGCAGTCATACTCATAACAATGAGAAGAATCTGCTCTGGGATGATGATTTCCACTCCTATGATGATCTCCAAGCTCGATTTAATGAAACCCAGCTCCAAGATAGCTTCTAGGATGTGTTCTTCGTACTTTCTCTCTCTAGGGCTCTGTTTTTGCTCTGAAAATCCGATCCTCTCACTTGCAGCCCGAAATTGGGTAAAATCCAGAAATTCCCGACTCACACGGGCATGGCACACGGCCGTGTGGCATACCCAGTTGCGCGTGTGAGGTCAAAACGCCGCATTCCGAGTAATTGGGTTTCAGGCTTCCCACACGGCCAGGGCCACACGGCCGTGTAGCTCACCCAGTCTGGCCGTGTGAAGCCTCGCAGAATTCCACACGACCAAATTGCAACTTCACACGGCCGTGTGAATTTTATTTGTGCCCGTGTGAAGGCTCGCACAATACCACACGGCCAAATTGGTCACTTGCACGGCCGTGTGAGTTGTGAGTGTGCCCGTGTGCCTTCCTTTGTGACTTGCCTCGCGCCCGATCTTCGTCCAATCGACCCCGAAATCGCTCCTAAAACCTTCATTCACTTGCTAGGACCTGAAATATCACAAACAAACACAACCTAGCGTGAAATCGGCCTAAAACATGAGAATTACCATCTCAAACGACTCCAGAACAGGGGTAAAAACATGTGCAATTAACGGCTTATCAAACTCCCCCACACTTAACCGTTTGCTTGTCCCCAAGCAAACCAAGTCAGACACAAGGTCAGCTCACATATTTCAATCATACCAACATTGGGCACAAATCATATAGGCACAGAACACGTGAATCATACTGGTTTTCAAACATCAACACCTGAACAACCTCAATAGCAACCGGGACAACCACCACAGAAGACATTCGAGTGCAGCAAAATCGAGTAAAGGAGAATTCTCCCTTCTGTTCATCAACCAACATAGACTTGACTCAATCACTCACTCAAGACAATCAACTCATGCATAAAACTCAAGACATCAGAATCAAGACCGAGCCATCTAGGTCCTCACCGGGTAAAGAGTGTAAAGAACAAGGAAATAAATCGCTCACTCTCGACCAGTGGGGTCAGGACAATTTGATGCGAAAAATGCGCATACTAATTCTCTCAATTCCTAACATCTCTTCACCATGACGGCAGCCTCTAAAGGTTAGAGTTCACAAAAATGGGTGCCATCACTAACTAATCCGGAGGTCTTAGACACAGGTTCAAGTGACTGGCTAGGGTCTTGGACATGGGGAAAAGCCTTTTAGGTGGTGGAAGTATTAATAACACAAGGTTCCACAATTCCAAACCCAACAAACTCACAGTCAATCAAACCAATACTTTCTTTCTGCTATTCTGCATTACTCAAATTCAGAGCACAAGAGCGAAGGAGGTCACATAAATACCAGTATTTCTAAGCCAGACTGCTATGAAACACTACTTAATGGTCACTATTTAGATTTTTGGTGGTGGCTCACTTTTGCTTTCATTTTTTCTTTGTTTTTTTTTTCATTTTTTTCCATTTCTTAAGAGAACCACCACCTCTGCACATTTTCAAACACCTGCCCAACTTTTTAAGAACTACCTCCAACTCTCACATTACATTTAGCAAAAACAGCAGAGAACATGTAAAAAACACTCTGTGGAACCTTCTAAAAGATGCAAAAGGGTGACTTTTCATTGAAGACCGAAAGAAAGGATAACACACGGCTCAAAGGGGCTGACTAGGGGGTATGACACACCAGGACAGTCAATTTGGTCATGGGCTAATCCTATGCCTCCATCATCTTAGCTAATGACAACGTGAATGCTACACATCATGGAAGAGGGAACTATCGCACAAGAAAGAAACGAGCAGGCTCAAATCTCACATGGCTACCTATATGCTCTATCTCTCATTCTGATTCCCTGAACTAGATGCATAAGAGACTGTCAAAAACAAGTAATCAATCCAAGTCACAATTGGTAAGCAAACAGTTGAAAAACTGAACCCTACACAATTCTACTGCACGTCTCAGTCATCATTATAGGTTGTCCTAGTCACCATCCAGTTGTCATGCATTAATCCGAAAACCATTCAATTCAGCAATCAAAACACAGCGCCAATATGATCAAACAGCCGTACTTGGAGCCCTCAAATCTCGAGATTTGGACAGTGGACTAGGCTCCAAGCACATGAATATAAATTCCAACCGATACAAAGCACCCCCCCCCCCCCCCCCACACACACACACACTTAAGCACGACATTGCCCTCAATGGAGCAGAGGGATAGAGAAGGGGAACGATGTTACCGGATTGAAATGTTACCGGATTGAAATGCTAAGGGAACATCAAGAACACACTAGCACACATTCGTTAGGGATTAGAGTTGGCCCAGATGGCCACGAAAGAAACAATCCACAAAAGAAAAGAAACAAAACACACGACAAACTCAGTTCAAGCTCCTCAAACACATGGAGCAAACAGAAAAAGTCTAAAACAAAAACACACACTGAGGGGCGACAAGTACAGCCTACTCGTCGCCAAGGTTGTCCAAATCGATGTCATTCATAAATGCATCATCATCATCAGCTGGTGGAGGTGGAAGTGGAGAGTCCTCCCAGGGAGTCCTCCAGACTGGCTGCTCGCCTGGTAGCAGCTGGAGCAGATGCTGCTGGACCTCCTGCATGCGCCTAGATCGGGCCTGCTCTCTCTCGATGCGCGCCAAGGTCACCCCCTGCTGGGTCTCCATCCTATCAAGGCGCTCATCATACACAGCCATCCGGGTCTGGTACTTGGCCAGCATGTGATGGAGGATGCGGTTGTCGAGCTGCAATGTGCTGGCCTTCGTCTTCCCCGCCTTGAAGGGAAGCTTACCTGGCCGAGCGAGGCGGGTGTACAGTGTCCCGAAGTCCACCCCCGCTGTCTCGATGCTCTCGGTGATGTAGTCCCTGTCATCGACCAGGTTGAGGCCGAGGGCGATCGCCAGCTCGTCGTAGCTCATGGATCGTGGTTCACCGCCGAGCCTGAATTTGACGGCTTCACCGTCCTTCCAATCCTCCGTGTCTGCGTGCTTGAAGGTAGTGTAGAACTCAAGCACGAGCTTGACTCGACTCTACTGTCACCCTAGGAATTGGCCAAGTGCAACCACTCCCTAAAGAGTAGTATAGCGGGTTTAGGTTTAATTATCAACCCGGGTCCTAGATGTGATGACTACTCAGTGAATTCTTGTTATCTAGCAATGAAACTGGAATGCAAGTCTAAACTACCAAACAAACAAAGCAAGTAAACTGTTGTATTCAGGTTAAGAGAGGTCACCCGGATATGGTTCCCCCTAGACTGCAGTTAAGCCAGATTGTAATTACCAAGTTCAGTTTCTATGACAGTTATACTGCGGAAGGTTCTTAAACAGCCTGAAGTCTCGACTAAAGGTCTTCAGACCCTCTCAATCTGACTCTCTAGCGGGCGACTAACCTCCACCGGAGTCGACAGATTGAGGCCCTAAGAACAAAACCTCCACTACCGAAGTAAATCCGGTATAGAATAGTGAGTTGGCTCCTCGACTAAAGTCACCAACTCCCTACCTTCAATCAAGGATACTCTATTAACCTAGGCAGATATTCTCATTCTAGATCAAAGCAGAAACAACAGGAATTTGATCAGGATTCAAGTCATTCAATCATTAAAACCTCAATCGAATATAATCAATCATAGAATCAGTACTTGGGTTCATACAATCAAAGCCTAACATACAAATCTAGGGTTCTCCATACCCAGATGAATGGGAGAACTACTACATGGAGAAGAAAGCAAAAGCAGAATCAGACACGGAATTCATACTGCGAAGGATGGATTCCTGCTTCTGGACGTTGATTGGCACTTCTCCAAGCTCAAGCTGGCCTCCAATGGTGTTGAAGATCAATCTAGGGCACTTGGGAACTCTTGCCCGTCACTTTCTCTCTCTAGGAATTGATCTCTCTCTCAAAAACTCGAATCCTCCCGAATTGTGGCTGAAATTCTGCTTAAAAGGAGAAAATCCCGACTCACACGGCCAGGGTGGCACGGCCGTGCAGCTCACCCAGTTGCCCGTGTGAGTCAAAACGCATCGTTTCATTTAGTTCGAATTCCAGGCTCATTGCACGGCCAGAATGGCACGGCCGTGTGGACATCCCCTCTTGCCCGTGTTTGCTCTTGTAGAATGTGGCACGGCCAAAACGGCCACTTGCACGACCGTGTGGATTGTCTGCTCTGCCCGTGTGTGCTCTCGGCAAAACTCGCACGGCCGTGTGAACATCAGGGCAGCCCGTGTGACCTCCTTTGTGACTTGTCTCGCACCCGATCTTTGCCTAATCGACCCCGAACTCGCTCCTAAACCTTCATTCACTTGCCAGGACCTGAAATATCACAAACAAGCACAACCTAGCGTGAAATCGGTCTAAAACACGAGAAACCACATCTCCAACGGTGTAAGAACAGGGGTGAAAACATGTGTAACTAACGGTCTATCAAACTCCCCCGCACTTAACCGTTTGCTTGTCCCCAAGCAAACCTAATTCAAACCAATGCAACTCTCCAGACCTCTATAGCAACAAACAACCCAGATCGTAGGTAGAGGACTTCCTAGGTCAATTAGCAACTTACGAGGTCAACCGACGCACAAGCCATCTCATAACTTCTTCGGCGAGTCGGCATCATGGCAAATAGTGAAAAGAGGACAAATGCATCGTGGATGAAGAGATTCTCAAAAACAAAAGATCATGGACTCACATTTTTTCTAGGTGCTCTGTTTTCTTCTTGAAGATGGCTGGAACCCCTTTTTTTCGTTTTGCTTGTTTTCTGTTGTTTTTCTTTTCTTTTCTTTTCAAGGGTCCCAACCTGCTCTTACCGGCCATGCCAGGAGCGGATGTCTCGAGCCTCGTGCGGGGGAAAGACATGTAAGGGGGCTGGAGGTAGTAGGTGGGAATTGGGAACAGATTCCCGTCTCCCCTTACACACTTTCGCCCTATTCGCACGGGAGACGTTTATTTTGAAGCACATTTTCGAGCACCTGTTATTTTCAAAACATGACACAAGAGTCCATGACAGGTAGAGAATCCACAACACCACACAATTCAAGAGTCCTAAGATCACTAATTCACTCAATCAACCAACCCAATATGAAGAAGAAATGAGACTCCTTAAATGCATCAACATCCTCCATAGTGCTACACTACCTCCCTAGGTTGCATATTACTATAAAGACTGTCAATTCAAAGCATACTGAGCAGGCAATTGCAAGGAAACACGTACTTAGAGCCCTCAAATTTAAAAATTTGGACAGTGGACTAGGCTCCAAGCACACAAACAGATCTAATGCAGTCAAAAGATAAACACCCCCCCACACTTAAGATCGACATTGCCCTCAATGGAGAAGAGGGAAGGGATAGGGAAAGATGTTACCGGTATGCACGGACTGCAGGGGACTGGAAACGGGCCAGTCGGGGCAAGCACAGCCAAAGGGAAACAGAAGAGCTCAAACACAATATGTTAGGTTCAATGGTCAGCCCAATAAAATATCATCCAAACCAAAAGAAAACAAACCAAACCCAAACCGGGTTACAATCCGACTCAAAACACAAGAAACAAAATCAAACCGTGGTGGGGTTGCCTCCCCACAAGCGCTTCTTTACCGTCGTATTAGCTGGACGCCCATGGTGGATACTCAGGGCGGTGCAGGAACAGGTGCCTCCAAGAGCGGATCCACGTCGCTCTTGAGGTACAGCTTGAGGTTGTGGCCATGCACCCGACGGATGCGACCACCCTCATCAGTCAGCTCGACCTGCCCATCTGGCAAGATGCAGGCGAGTGAGTACCCAGACGGCCAGGGTGGTCGTGGTGCAGGAGGTGGGACCAGCTCATAGTGGTCTCCACTCTTCTTACGTGCAGGCTTAGCAACCTGCTGCTTCGGCCACCACTCCTCCTTGAGCTTTTTGTTCGGAGGCGAGGCTGGATGGAGTGGCGGCGAAGGAATGATAGGAGGGTCCTGCAAAATAGGAGGTGCAGAAGGATACACGACAGGCTTGTGTACCTGATCAGACATAGCATGCACAGGCGTGACATCAATCATAGCACAGTGATCAAACTCAGTCACAGAAAAAGTAGCCTGTTCATCCCCAGCACGCAGTATCAGTTTACCATCGTGCACATCAATAAGTGCCTTGGCGGTGGCAAGAAATGGCCTACCTAGAATCAAAGGCACATCCACATCCTCATGCACATCAAGAATAACAAAATCAACAGGATATGTGAATGTACCTACTTTAACAAGCAGATCCTCAATGATACCCCTAGGATGCACGATAGAACAATCAGCTAATTGAATGCTCATCCTAGTAGGGCTAAGTTCACCTAGGTCTAGCATTTTATACAACTTATATGGCATGACGTTAATGCTAGCGCCTAGGTCCGCCAAGGACTTGCCTACATGCATGCTGCCAATAGTAAGAGGGATAGTAAAACTCCCTGGATCCTTGCGCTTCTCGGGCAGCTTGTTCTGCAGGATAGCAGAACACTCCTCGCTCAGCATCACTGTCGAGAGATCCCCAAGTTTCTTCTTGTTGGTGCAGATATCTTTCATGAACTTGGCATACTTAGGCATCTTCGACAGTGCCTCCATGAACGGTATGCTGATGTTGAGCTGCTTCAACATTGCCATGAACTTGGTAAACTCAGTCTCCACCTTGTCTTTGTGTAGGCGAGTGGGGAAGGGAAGCTGGGGCACGTGCTCCTTAACCACTGGTTGTGGCTTGGGAGCAGGGGCTTCCTTCTCCACCCGCACTTTTGCATCGTCGGCTGGAAGTGCTGAAGTAGTCAGTGGTTCCTCCTGTCTGGCCGGGACAGGATCAGCAGATATGGTCTTACCGCTCCTGGTAAAAATGGCATCCAGCTGCTGATGCTGATGAGGATCTCGAGGATTCGGGACAGTGGTGGCAGGCAAAGTCCCTGGTGCCCTGGTGGTGTTTTGGCGGGCCAAGATGCCCATCTGGGTCTGCAGATCCTGCAAAATGGCACCCTTGTTCCTCTGACCTGCCTCCAATGAGGCTACACTCTGGTCCAACCTCGTGATAGTCGCCTGAGTGCTCATCATGAATGAAGCTAGAATGTTTTCCAGCTTCGTCATCCTGTCATCTGGGGCTGGTGGAATGGCTGCTGTGGAACTGGCCCCTGTCGAGCCTGGTAGGGCTGCCTCTGCTGAAAACCACCTGCTGGTGCTAGGAAACCAGGTGGTTTAGTGGTGTTGCTGCTCCAGGCAAAGTTGGGATGCTGGCGCCACCCCTCATTATATGTGCTACTGTACGGATCGAGGCGCCTCGCATTGGCGATGAAGGCCAACTGCTCCTGGGGTGTGGTAGACTCCCTCATAGCCTGGCAGTCCTCCACTAGGTGATTGGAGCTCTCACACCACTGACATTGAGCTACTGGAGGTGTAGCCAAACCTCTGCCCGGAATCAGACTGTTGGGCTGCTTCAATGTCTGCACCAGCTCAGCTACCTGCTGCTCGAGTCCGCATCTGGACTCCATGGCGTGCACACCACGGTCCCTGGAATGTCTGCCTCTGCTACTCTGCCCCCAGGAATGATCTCTGGCAGCCAATGTATTAATCATCTGGTTCAGCTCTGGTGGAGTCTTAGTGAGAACATCCCCTCCTGGGCATAAAGACTCAATCACTCTCTGGCTATCTGGAGAGAGGGCACTGTAAAAGTTCCCCACAGTGAATGCATCGCTGAAGCCATGATGGGGGCACTGCCAGAAGTAGCCCATATACCGCTCCCAAGCATCACGGAGTGACTCATCTGGCTCCTGGCGGAAGTGAGTGATCTCCCGCTGAATCTCTGTGGTCTTCGATGCCGGATAGTACCTGTGCACGAACTTGTCCGCCAGATCGTCCCAAGAGGTGATGGACAATGGGGGCTGGGTCTCCAACCACCTCTTAGCATTCCCCGCCAGAGAATGGGGGAAAAGATGAAGGCGGATTGCATCATCGGGAACACCGTTCAGCTTGAACCCGTTTGTCAGCTGCAGAAAACGGGGCAGATGTACCCTGGCCTCCTCATCCTTCAAGCCATGAAACTGGATCGAGGATGTGATGAGCTGAATCCAGCATGGCTTAATCTCGAAGTTGTTTGCTGGGATCGGCGGGTAGAGGATGACCGGGCGGATGTCAGCAATCCTCGGAGTGTAGTAGTACTCCAAGGTGGGACCCGACTGCGGTGGATGATGAACTCCATGATCCTGGGGTATGGGGTAGTTCCCCAGGACCTGATTCACCGGGGGAACCTGCTGCGGATTCCCCTGGTGCTGATTGTAGTCTCCGTCCATCCCGTGCTCTTCTTCAGAATCGCTACTCAAGTGGCCGTCTATGCACTCTTCCGTAGCTAGTCTAGCTCGCTGTTGTCTCCTGAGCTGGCGACAGGTGCGGTCAATCTCTGGATTCAACGGCAGTAAACCTCCTGGCTGGCTACGGGTCATGCACTACCTGCACACCCTCAAACAAGCAAACCCGTGAAGGCACAAGTGGGACAAAGCAAACAAAGCAAAAGGAAAAGCTAAATTAACAGAAATCACTTTTCTTCAACAACCTAGCCGTCCCCGGCAACGGCGCCAAAAACTTGACTCGACTCTACTGTCACCCTAGGAATTGGCCAAGTGCAACCACTCCCTAAAGCGTAGTATAGCGAGTTTAGGTTTAATTATCAACCCGGGTCCTAGATGTGATGACTACTCAGTGAATTCTTGTTATCTAGCAATGAAACTGGAATGCAAGTCTAAACTACCAAACAAACAAAGCAAGTAAACTGTTGTATTCAGGTTAAGAGAGGTCACCCGGATATGGTTCCCCCTAGACTGCAGTTAACCGGATTGTAATTACCAAGTTCAGTTTCTATGACAGTTATACTGCGGAAGGTTCTTAAACAGCCTGAAGTCTCGACTAAAGGTCTTCAGACCCTCTCAATCTGACTCTCTAGCGGGCGACTAACCTCCACCGGAGTCGACAGATTGAGGCCCTAAGAACAAAACCTCCACTACCGGAGTAAATGCGGTACAGAATAGTGAGTTGGCTCCTCGACTAAAGTCACCAACTCCCTACCTTCAATCAAGGATACTCTATTAACCTAGGCAGATATTCTCATTCTAGGTCAAAGCAGAAACAACAGGAATTTGATCAGGATTCAAGTCATTCAATCATTAAAACCTCAATCGAATATAATCAATCATAGAATCAGTACTTGGGTTCATACAATCAAAGCCTAACATACAAATCTAGGGTTCTCCATACCCAGATGAATGGGAGAACTACTCCATGGAGAAGAAAGCAAAAGCAGAATCAGACATGGAATTCATACTGCGAAGGATGGATTCCTTCTTCTGGACGTTGATTGGCACTTCTCCAAGCTCAAGCTGGCCTCCAATGGTGTTGAAGATCAATCTAGGGCACTTGGGAACTCTTGCTCGTCACTTTCTCTCTCTAGGAACTGATCTCTCTCTCAAAAACTCGAATCCTCCCGAATTGTGGCTGAAATTCTGCTTAAAAGGAGAAAATCCCGACTCACACGGCCAGGGTGGCACGGCCGTGCAGCTCACCCAGTTGCCCGTGTGAGTCAAAACGCATCGTTTCATTTAGTTCGAATTCCAGGCTCATTGCACGGCCAGAATGGCACGGCCGTGTGGACATCCACTCTTGCCCGTGTTTGCTCTCGTAGAATGTGGCACGGCCGTGTGGATTGTCTGCTCTGCCCGTGTGTGCTCTCGGCAAAACTCGCACGGCCAGGCCATTCCTTCACACGGCCGTGTGAACATCAGGGCAGCCCGTGTGACCTCCTTTGTGACTTGTCTCGCACCCGATCTTTACCCAATCGACCCCGAACTCGCTCCTAAACCTTCATTCACTTGCCAGGACCTGAAATATCACAAACAAGCACAAACTAGCGTGAAATCGGTCTAAAACACGAGAAACCACATCTCCAACGGTGTAAGAACAGGGGTGAAAACATGTGTAACTAACGGTCTATCAGATCTCGTGGTAAACCTTCTCGCGAATGCTGAGTAGGCGGCGCCAGTAGCGGTTGGTGACAATGGAGGAGAAGTGCTCGTAGGAGTTCAGCTTCTCCAACTCTCGCTTGGAGCAGCAATGATGCTGCCCAAACTTGCAGGCCAGGACGTTCTTAAAATGATCCTGGTGGGGCCCCCTTCTCAAATCTTGAACAAACTGGTGTTGGAGGTTGGGCTTCGTCATGGTCCTGCAAAAGAACAACCCAAAGTGGAACCAAAAGAGCCAAGGAAAATGTTAATCACACCCCCACACTTAAGAACAGAAAACAACCGAACCATGGTTTCATCCATAGTTCGGGGGTCAAAAACTCGATCACACAAGCATAATCGGGGTGGGGTTTCACATCCATGGGAAAGTAGGCAACTCAAGGTTCACATCCATACCAAACACACTCTCAAAGCACAACATTAAGGGCTCCAACCGACTCCCACAAAATGGTATGAAAACAGGCATTTTATCGAACACCTTGTGGGCACTATTAAGATAAACATGGAATTGACAAACTTCTTGCACACAAGGGCTCAAACCAGCAAGGGGGACAATGCCCAACACAATTCATACATAATCCAAGCATTCCCCTCAACTAATTGCACACAATTCACATGATTCAAAGAGGTTCTCTAAACATGCACCCTAACACCCAATTCTCCATAAAAACATAGTTAAGGTCAAAATCAAACCTGGAGACTCAAGTAGAGGTGTAGGGGATGATGAGGGGAATGCAATGAAAGCGACGAAAGGCCGAAAAACTGCCCGGAAGTGCTCGTCGGAGCCTCGCCGGAAATCGCCTCCGGCCACTCAAAATCAAGCCAAATCACCTCAAAATCAAGGGATAGGCCGATAATGGGGAGGAAAGGGTGGGTGTGGTGTTAGATTTGTGAAAAACCGACCAAAAATGGCCGAATATCGACAAAGATGGCGAAAAGTCGCGGTTTTCCGGCGAGGGGGAGAGGTTTCCGGCGCGAGAATTGGGATTTTCTGACCACTCGGTCGTGTCGGCCGAATTTATAGGCCGTGGCTCGGCCACACGGCCAGGCTCCCACGGCCGTGTGAGGTGCACTTTTGCCCGTGTGACTTTTGACGAGAGCTCACACGGCCAAGGGGGATTTCCACACGGCCGTGTCACAATCACAGCTGGCCGTGTGGAATTTCACGAGAGCTCACACGGCCAAAACTCAAATCCACACGGCCGTGTGACTTTCAGGGCTGCCCGTGTGGGCTGCCAGAACTCCAAAATTGACCTGTTTTCACTCCAGAACGACATACAACTCGTGAACAACCCCTCAACACTCAAAAAACACAAAAAAAAAATCAAAAGGAAAAAGGTAAGAAAATGCAAACCTAGGTGGGGTTGCCTCCCCACAAGCGCTTTTTTAGTGTCTTTTAGCTGGACGCCAGTAGAGGAACTAAGGGTCCTCGAGCTTGATCAGCAGCTCTGCGCGCTCGACAGCGCCTCCCAAATACAACTTTAGGAGGTGGCCATTCAACTTGAATGGCTCAGTTTGAGCATTGCTGATCTCCCCCGCACCGTGCGGGAAAACTTGGTGACCGTGAAGGGTCCCGACCACCTCGAACGGAGCTTACCCGGGAAGAGTTTTGGCGTGCATTGAAGAGCAGAACACGATCACCTACCTGAAACTCTTTCGGGCCCCTCAACCGAGCGTCGTGTAGACGCGGTGCGCTCCTTGTAGAGCAGGGTGTTCTCGTAGGCGTGGTAACGCCACTCCTCCAACTCCAGCAGCTGCAACTTACGTTCTGTACCTGCAACACTCAAATCCGGGTGAAAATTATCATTCATCACTAAACTTGCTCTATTAATTCATGTTTACCACTAAACTCGTTTTTAATTCAACTAAACCACTGAACTTGATAAACAAGGTCACCATCCATCACTTTCATTTCAGCTTAACGGAAAATCATCTTAACGGTGCTGATGAAGCACTAACTGTGATGATGTGGCGACACTTAATTCATATTATTCCACGTAAGGAATTTATTATTATTTAATAAAACTCTATCCAATAAAGAAAAAATTCGGAACCCTAATTATTTGTTTTCCCATGTCAATTAAGCTCTACACCTCACGCTGTTCTTCTTCCCCCCAAAAGCCATCTAAGCGAGACCAGGAAAATCATTGATTATTCTTCTCGTCTGCACCGCAATGCCGCCGGACAAACCAGGAAAAAGAAGCAATAAAAGGAATCTTGATCATGGTACGTTTCCGCTGTGGAGCTCTATATTCTTAGGGTTTTGTGTGTGTGTGTATATATATATATATATATATTCGTGAAGATTATATATGGGCTTATGTATGTCAGTATGTGGGATGGAAGGGGGTCTGCTGTCTCTAGGGGAAGAAGCGAGATAAAGAAAGAAAAGCTAAAAGAGAAGGAAAATGGGGTTTGCCATGGACCATCTAAAGTGATACTGTGTGTGATAGTGATAGGTGGATTTTGTTTGTGTGAGAGTAGTAGTAGTAGTAGCAAGAGAATATAGTTTGCCATATGGACCACATTTAATCTTTTATATATTATGCTCTTTTGTCTTCTTGTATGGTTTTGTCTCTAGTAACAACAAGGCAACTATTATTTTTTGCAGATGTCAGTGACAATTTTATTGGAAGTAGGAATATGACACAGAACTCAAAGAAAGATACAAGGAGAGATTTGACAAATAATATTGGAGATGAAGCATTATCTGAAAGTAGTGATGGGAGTTCTAATTTTGAGGTATGTTTTAAGGATAGTGATTACGATTTGATGGATAAGGAAGATGATTTGCTATATGATAATTATGTTAATGAAGAAGTAGAAGCTGGAAATGGATTTGATTTTCAAATGGAAGGTGGTTCAAATCAGCAATCACCTATAGCTTATGATGATGATATTGCTTATGATGGTGATGGGGAGCTTACTCATGTGGTTGAGGATGGAAGTGAAATGAAAGAGGGATTTCCTGAGTTCAATGCAGAAGTAAATATGAATGATCCAGTATTTTTTGAAGGTCTCAAATTTAAATCTTTTGATGAATTCAAGGAGGCAGTGAAGCATTAGGCAATAAGACATAAAAGAAACATTCGATTTAAGCATAATGACAAGTTGAGGGTCAATGTTGTTTGTCAAGATGGTTGTCCATGGGAAATATGGGTCTCCTACATGTCTAGTGAGAAGACACCTCAAATCAAGACATGTCGTTTAAATCATAGCGAGCATTGCAGAAAAGTTTACAATATCAGATTCCTCACGGCCAGGTGGATAGCAGAAGTACCTCGAGAGGTTTAGAGTTGATCCTACATGGTTTTGTCCCCTTCTAATCCAAACTGTCAAGGAAGATTTGTTGCTAACCATGAGCCTTCCTAAATCTCAAAGGTGTAGACGTGAGGCTTGGGTACTATTAGGTGGGCAAGAGAATGATCAATACAAGAAATTATATGATTATGCAGGTGAGATTCGAAGGACAAACCCAGGATCTACTGTGATCATTGAGCAATTAGGAGGTATTTTTGAGAGGATGTATATGTTCTTGCAAGGATGCAAAGACGGGTTCAAGGCAGGACAATTACTAACAGCTATTGGTGTTGATCCTAATGATTGCATTTTCCCCATTGCATTTGCCTTGGTGAAGAAGGAAAATAGAGATAATTGGCAGTGGTTTATTAGAAACTTGGTTGAAGATCTTGAAGTGGAAAATAGTCCCAGATGGTGCTTTATGTCCGATCGTCAGAAGGTAATTAAGATTAGTAATGATCAAGAATATCCCTCTTGTTTGATGCCTTATGTTCTTTCTAATATTTGTTTTTACAATCACTTGTAGGGGTTAATTGCAGCCTTAAATGATGAGTTGTTTGATGTGGAGCATCGATTTTGTGTACGCCACATGTATACAAACTTTCGAAAAGACGTTTCCAGAGACTTTTTATTAAAAGACTTGCTCTGGAAGGCAGCACGATCTACTACTACAAGTGAATTCAAGAGGTGGATGCAAGAGATTGGGAGGCAAAGTGAGAAGGCAAAGAATTGGTTGCATGATAGACCTTTTAGAGAGTGGTCAAAAAGCCATTTTCAAGTTCTATGCGGGTGTGACATGCTTCTCAACAATCTGTGTGAGTCTTTTAATCGTTGCCTACTAGATGCAAGGAGCCAACCCATTATCTCCATGTTTGAGGCCATTAGTTGCATACTAATGAGACGTATGCATGTGAAAAACAAAGTTGGTGATAAAATGACTGGTAGAATTTGTCCCAAAATACAAACAAAATTGGAAAAGTTGAAAGAGGAAGCAGCAAAGGGTTGTACAGCTACGTATGATGGAGAGAATCAGTACCAAGTTAGGTCCTTTGATGGACAAGTGGTGGTGAATCTTGCTGAAAAGACTTGTGCATGTAGAAAATGGCAGCTTTCTGATATTCCTTGTAAGCATGCTATATGTGCAATTTGGGAGGCAGACGAATATCCAGAAGATTATGTGGGTAGTTGGTATACTGTTGATACCTACAAAGAAGTTTATAATAATTTTGTTCATCCTAACAATAGCAGTGATATGTGGGAAGAAAGTGGTAGGGATCCCATTCAACCACCTCCTATAACTAAGGAAAGAAAGATGAAAAGGGGAAGAAAGCATAAACAAAGGAGGAAGGAGAGTGCTGAGTTGGAAAACACAAGTAAGAATGGAAAACGTAGACTGAGCAGGAAAGGAGTGAAGCTGAAATGCTCCGTATGTCGTGAGCATGGCCATCGGAAAGACTTCCACAACAACAATCCATTACCACAACAAGGTGAGCAAGGATCCACTACACAGGCTACTACTTCTGGGAGAATGGACAAGTTACCTGTAAGTTAAAAATTTGATATTAATTTTGGTTCCATATTTGAAAAGATATAATATTTTGTACTAAGAAATCATAATGTTAATGTTTCATATAATATTGTAGATTCAACGTAAAAAAAGCAGAGTACAACAAGGTATGACCCAATCCTGCATTCCAACATCACAGGTGTGTATCACTACCCCCAATGTCTTTTGTCTAGATGATGTATGTTTAGAAATGTTTTTTAAATAATGTTTTTTTTTTGTGATAGGAGAGTGGCATTTGATTTCCGAACTAGGAGGCACTTTTGGACAAATTACAATGCTTGGATATTGCTCAATTGAACGCTGAGTCGAAGTCGCAACCTTTATTTCAAGGGATGCCCCAAATTGTGCAAGTTTTAGTGCCCCAAACTCTACTGCAAATCTTTTGTAGACTTGATGATGTGTGTGATTTCATTTTGTGGAATTGGAGGGATAGATTTGAATTATAATTTCATGAGTAGTACAATTTCATGAGTAGTGACTGCATAATATTGTATGGGTTCTTTTGATTATTTTTTTTCAAGAAGAATTATGGTCTACAAAACAGGTCTTTCAAATTAGAAAATCTAATTACGGTAAAGCAAATATCTTTGGGTACTAGGTGAAGTCCGTATATAATTTTGAATTTAAACGAATATAAACAAAGTTGCTGTGGCCCAATTGGTTTAAATGATGGTTTACAATCATCATGTTAGAGGGTTCCAAATGGTCACAGGTTCGAAACCTGCTACCTACCGTTTATTTTCCAGGTATAGCTTTTTAATTTAGGTTAAACCTGGCAGTGACATGGCAGATTACATGTCAAGCTAGGAGGAATCTGACGTTGCCATGTCAGCGACGTTAGTGCTTTATCAGCACCGTTAAGATGGCATCTGTGTAGGTGATGGATGGTGATTTTTTTTATCCAGTTTAGTGGTTTAGTTGAATTAAAAATGAGTTCAGTGGTAAACTTGAATTAATAGAGCAAGTACAGTGACCCACTATGCTTTTTACTCCTCAAATCCAGGTTTAGCATCTTAATGGCCCAGAAGGCCTTGTGCTCTAGCTCTACCGGCAAATGACACGCCTTCCCATAGACAAGCCTATAGGAGAAGTGCCAATCAGATTTTTATAGGCAGTCCTATACGCCCAAAGAGCATCATCGAGCTTGGTGGACCAATCCTTGCGGGACTGATCCACCGTCTTTTCAATTATTCTTTTAAGCTCCCGGTTCGTCAGCTCGGCTTTCCCATTTGACTGGGGATGGTAGGCCACCAACACCTGATGCTTAACGCCATAACGAGAGAGGAGTTTAGTGAATTTCCCCTGAAAATGGGTTCCTCTATCACTAATAATGGCGCGAGGTGTCCCGAACCGGGAGAACAGCTGCTTCAGAAATGAGCAGACCCGTCTTGCATCATTGGTGGGCATGGCTTGAGCTTCTGCCCACCTCGAGACGTCGTCCACTGCAACCAATATGTACAGATTGCCAAAAGATGGAGGGAATGGGCCGATGAAATCGATACCCCAAACATAAAAAATTTCACAAATAACAGAGATATGTTGGGGCATCTCATCCCGGGTAGAAATGTTACCTGACCTTTGGCAGCGGTCGCACTGTCGTGCGAAGGAGTCTGCATCCTTGAAGAGCGAGGGCCAATAGAAGCCCGACTGTAGCACCTTCCGCGCCGTGCGGTTTCCTCCATGGTGACCTCTAGTAGGTCCCTCGTGGCATTGAGACAGGATGTCTCCCATCTCGTGCTCCATGACACTGCGCCGGATCACGCCGTCTGCTCCGATCCTGAAGAGGTAAGGATCCTCTCAGAAGTAATGCTTCAGATCGGATAAGAACTTGCACTTTGCATGAGTAGCCATCCACTTGGGTAACTGCTTGCCCACCAGATAATTGGCAAAGTCAGAATACCAAGGGGCCACGCTGTCCACCAGTGTCATCGCCTGCAATCGCTCACCCGGGAAGGAGTCATCGATCTCTTACACGAAGTTGTCCACCGGAGGGGCTTCCAACCGTGAAAGATGATCTATAGCAACATTCTCGGCTCCTTTCTTGTCCCGGATTTCTATGTCGAATTCCTGCAGAAGTAGGATCCAGCGGATGAGCCGAGGCTTTGCATCAGCCTTGCTCATCAAGTAGCGGATCGCCGAGTGATCTGTGTAGACCACCACATGGGAGAGCACCAGATATGGCCGGAACTTGTCAAATGCATACACCACAGCGAGGAGCTCCTTCTCAGTGGTGGTGTAGTTCTCCTGTGCATCGTTCAAGGTCTTGGACGCGTAGTAGATGGGCTGGAAGTGCTTCTCGCGTCTCTGACCCAGAACTGCTCCGACTGCATAGTCACTCGCATCGCACATCAGCTCAAAAGGGAGAGACCAGTCAGGAGTTACCATGATAGGTGCATGGGTCAGCTTCTCCTTCAGAGTCTCAAATGCAGCTGTGCACTCGGGAGTGAACTGGAATGGTGCATCCTTCTCCAGCAGCTTGGTCAAAGGCAGGGCAATCTTCGAGAAATCTTTAATGAAGCGTTGGTAGAAGCCTGCATGACCCAGAAAGCTGCGAATCCCCTTCACAGAAACGGGAGGAGGTAGCTTACTGATCGTCTCAATCTTCGCGCGATCCACCTCAATCCCCTGCTTGGAGATCTTGTGCCCGAGCACAGTCCCCTCATGGACCATAAAATGGCACTTCTCCCAGCTGAGTGCCAGATTAGTCTCTTCACACCTCTTCAGAACGAGTTCCAGGTTATGGAGACAATGAGTGAAGGAGTCTCCATAAACCGAGAAGTCATCCATGAAGACTTCCATGATCTCCCCGACCAGTTGGTCAAAGATTGCCATCATGCATCTCTGGAGGTTGCCATCCTATTACACAGCCCGAATGGAATCCTCCGGTAAGCAAAAGTGCCAAAGGGGCAAGTGAATGTGGTCTTCGCCTGATCCTCTGGTGCAATAGGAATCTGGAAATAACCAGACATGCCATCCAGGAAGCAATAAAACTCATTCCCAGCCATCCTCTCCAGCATCTGATCAATGAAAGGTAGGGGAAAATGATCTTTCCTGGTGGCGTCGTTCAGGCGCCGGTAATCGATGCAGACTCTCCAGCCGGTCACGGTCCGCATCGGGATCAGCTCTTTCTTCTCATTCGGGACCACAGTCATCCCTCCTTTCTTCGGGACCACCTGAGTGGGGCTGACCCACTTGCTAT